TTAATAGTCTCCTGGCATTCTCCACCAATATTATATCTGCTGAACACTGGGGTTACAAGATGGAAACACAAGGAAATATTTCCTTTAAAGTTGGGGTGACGTAAACCCCTTTGTATCTGTGACAGAGATGATAATATGAGTTAATAGTCTCCTGGCATTCTCCACCAATATTATATCTGCTGAACACTGGGGTTACAAGATGGAAACACAAGGAAATATTTCCTTTAAAGTTGGGGTAACGTAAACCCCTTTGTATCTATGACAGAGATGATAATATGATTTAATAGTCTCCTGGCATTCTCCACCAATATTATATCTGCTGAACACTGGGGTTACAAGATGGAAACACAAGGAAATATTTCCTTTGATATTCCTGAGAATATTTAATGTGTGTACTTTGGTAAGAACCAGAGCCAGAAATATGGATTCTTGTTTGAGTGTTTGCTATTAAGCACAAAGCTACACAATGAGCTCTCTATGCTGTGCTCACCGCGGGTATCGAAACTCGGTTTTTAGCGTTATAAGTTTCAGGCTTACTGTTGAGCCACTAGGTGTGTGTGTAGAAATATGGAAAAGCGCGGAAAGGTTACTATTAATACGACAGTTATAAAAGTGTAGGATACTGCTTATGTAACAACAATAATATATTAATTTCCGTATGTAACACATTAACATGTTTAGAGGTACGCCTGTTCCATCCCAAATCATCTACCTTCCGAACCTTTCTTAAACTGTATCGCTCTGTTGTGTTTCGTACTTGCACAAGTTATTGTATAACAAATTTAAGTACGTAACACCTGCAAAACAACTAGAAAAAATAGGTCATATATCGTAAGAAACATATTAGTAGATTATCCTAAACGTTTATTTTCAGTTTAAATTTCTGTGACATTTGAACCAGAGTTATCAGGATGACGTAACGTACAATTCTAGACTGTACCAAGATAAAAGAATAGGAGTCATGGATCAGGTAATGATAGGAGTCATGGATCAGGTAAGGATAGAAGTCGTGGATTAGGTAAGGATAGAAGTCATGGATCAGGTAAGGATAGGGTCATGGATCAGGTAAGGATAGAAGTCATGGATTAGGTAAGGATAGAGGTCATGGATCAGGTAATTATAGAAGTAATGGATCAGGTAAGAATAGAGGTCATGGATCAGGTAAAGATAGAAGTCATGGATCAGGTAGTGATAGAAGTCATGGATCAGGTAAGGATAGAAGTCATGGATTAGGTAAGGATAGAACTCATGGATCAGGTAATGATAGGAATCATGGATCAGGTAATGATAGAAGTCATGGATTTGGTAAGGATAGGGGTCATGGATCAGGTAAGGATAGGGGTCATGGATCAGGTAAGGATAGGGGTCATGGATCAGGTAAGGATAGGACTCATGGATCAGGTAAAGATAGGGGTCATTGATCAGGTAATGATATGACTCATGGATCAGGTAAGGATAGAAGTCATGGATTAGGTAAGGATAGGAATCATGGATCAGGTAGTGATAGAAGTCATGGATTAGGTAAGGATAGGAATCATGGATCAGGTAGTGATAGAAGTCATGGATTAGGTAAGGATAGGACTCATGGATCAGGTAAGGATAGGGGTCATGGATCAGGTAATGATAGGACTCATGGATCAAGTAAGGATAGAACTCATGGATCAGGTAGTGATAGGGGTCATGGATCGAGTAATGATAGGACTCATGGATCAAGTAAGGATAGAACTCATGGATCAGGTAAGGATAGGACTCATGGATCAGGTAATGATAGGACTCATGGATCAGGTAAGAACAACACAACATCAGGAAGATAGGGCTCATTGATCAAGTAAGAAGGACCTCACGTTTCAAAATCAGAAGTTGAAAAGGTTCAAAGAATGTGCCAAAACAGGCCTACGTGTCGAGATATAAACTCTTTGCATACATTGGACCATTTCCACTGTTCTCAATCCATACACAGGACTCATATATGGAGTCTGTCAGGAAACCGATGTCCTAATACTTTTAATAACCTTCTGTGGTTAAGACTGGAACGTCTATGTCGTTGGATACGTAGTGTTTTTATGTTTTAACATAGGAACAGACATAGGTAGAATGGCAGTGTTTTTATGTTTTAACATAGGAATAGACATTAGTAGAATGGCAGTGTTTTTATGTTTTAACATAGGAACAGACATTGGTAGAATGGCAGTG